GCCCCGCCAGACCGAGATTGTCTACTCGACAAGGATGCCTTCATCAGCCAACTGTTGGAGAACAACAAAAAGCAGCAGAAAACGATAGCAGCGCATTCGAAGCTTATTGAAAAGATAGACGACTGAAGAAGAGTGAATCGAAAAAGAAACGTCAACATGACAGCGACAGCGAAAGTTCCACAGTTAACGAAAGGGAAATAGCAAACATGCAAGAAAATAGCTTTTGGGCCAATTTCACCAACATTAATATTATGGACCAATGGGAAAATACCTTATCGAAATGCAATTTGACGAAAGCTGTCAAAGGTCTCTGAATATTAGTGATTTCTATTGAAATATTGAATAAAATCGTGAACATTCGACTGTATTATAAACAAGACCACTTTTTGATTCCAACATGATGCTTTTGCACAGAAAAAACAGGACAACTTTCATGTATTTTCATATATGTTATAGGTTTACATTTAACAATCCGTTATCCCACTCAGCGAATGGGAATGCGGCAAATAATCGGTCGATTTTCTAGCTGTTAAATTTGGCAGCAGATTTGGACGTTTGTTAATGCATGGCACTCTTGAATTTACCACCTTCAATATACTGAAAGTTATCATTACATACCTGTTGAATAGTGTGGATTTGTCTGTATTTTGCAAGAAAATAGAATATAAAATACATTCCATCCAATTCCTCATCTTCCTTTATGTCATAATATTATTAATTTATGGGATAATGAATTTCTTCAAAGCAATAAAAACATTATGTCCTGTCCATCCTAAAACACATATAACATGTGTAACACGTGTCAATCCCTACATCTCCCTGATGCATAATGCAAGTACTATGGACATAGACAAAAAATTATGATGAATGTTTCACAGATAATGGCTGTTAAGTTCAAAAATCAAAAAAACTAGTAATGTTTACTGTTTGTCTATTTTTTTTTTGACTGGTGGGGATATCAATCTGACACTCGCAGGGTTGCCAAGTCTAACGACGATCAGGTGCCGTGGTGGAGGGTGCGAAATAATTCTTTTACATTTGGTGGTTTTGAATTTTTTTCGTGAAAATTTACTAGGTATCATGATTATAAGCATCTTTGGAAGATTGGGAAAGATCTCCTATTTATGAAAATATTTTTGGTATCATCTAACTGTTGCAATCAGTGCACAAACACTGTGACATATGATTTATAGCATAACCCGCTGCCCTATCAATACAAATTTAACATACAGGTCGCCTAGCCGTGGGGATGCAGTGGTCGGGATGAATATCACGGCAGCAACTGATGATTTGGGCATGTCTGGTAAGAACGTATGAAGTGAAACTCGCTAACTTCACAAATTTGAAGATTTTGTACAATTTCTTTGAAAATGATGAAAGATATGTCTGATTTGGCAGGGTAATGTCGCAGCCAAATGGCAGTCACTCTTTCTGACACAGTCAGGATCGAAAGATGACGATACTCGTGAAATGTATTGATACTTCTAAATATAGGATCCTATCGAACATCCCTACTGTCAAGATGTATAACCCAAGGTACCGACGGAGCTATTTTGCGGCGTCATGGAAATAATTTTAAATTTTCATTTGCATTTTTTCGAGTGTGTGCAATGATTTTGGGAAAAATGTCACGAATAGTCTTATAAAGCATAGTAGAGTATATTTCAACAGTTGGCGGAACTTACTCCACTGGGACCAGGAGGGTGAAACGGGATATTAATGCAGAATCTGGCAACCCTATCGCACCCTCACAAAATGGCCGCTGACAACCACAGAAGTCACTGTGTCGTGATTGAATAGCATGGAATTAAACCTTCAGAGTATGTTTTGTGACTTGTACCAAGAGTTGACAGAGCCCACACATGTGTCACTCCTTGAAATGCAATAATCAGCTGTATTCAAATAACGTCTAATATAAATATAACCCAGAATATCTACTCAGTGAAAAAAGAAAAATATTTATTTATTTATTTATACATTATTGCCCAACAGAACTATTCCAATTAAAGGACAATATCATGGTAACTTTACTTATAATTCATACATGTAATGTATACCTAAAACTAATTTAAAAAATAGAACTAGCTATTATAATAGCACCTGAAATTCGACACGATCTTACTGATACAATCAAAATTAATGTCAGAACTGTCTGCTATGGAATTATAATTGTTGCATATAGAATGTAGCGGAGAATAAAATAATATATTTGTACGGGAGGTACTGCAGTAGAAAGTTAGAGTTCCTCTCGTATTTAACCGTGGAATATAGAAATTTAACCTCTGGAGAAGTTCTGGTGCATCCACTCTGTCGTGCAAAAGCTTATGAAGGAATGATAGGCCAGCAGTGGAACGTCTTAACTGTAGAGACTCTAGTTTAAAACGACGCAGCAGAACAAATTGAGTGACCCCCCTTTCTGGATATGTGCCATCGATTTTATAAATACAGAATTTAAGAAATTTCCTCTGCACATTTTCTAAGATGCTTATATGATACGCATAGAAAGGGTTCCATATCAAACAGGCATACTCAAGTTTTGGTCGCACCAGTGAAATAAAAAGAGCTTTTAGTGCCGCTTCGTTGGAAAAAGATCGGCAGTTGCGCATTATGAAAATCAGAATCCGTGTCGCTTCGGAAGTGACGCGTGCTACATGGACAGAAAAGTCCAATCTACAGGAAAATGTTACACCAAGATCTTTAGTCTCTGTTGTTCTATCCAAAACCGCATTATTGATGGAGTAATCAAACATAATCGGGTTCATTTTACGACAATATGAACATACTTTACATTTGGAAATATAGAAAGAATATTATTGTCGCACCACCGTCTGATGGTATGCAGATCGTCCTGAAGGGAAATACAGCTCTCCAAATTTGTAATTCTGATGTAGATTTTCAGATCATCAGCAAATAGTAGGCATTCACACTTTAGTGAAGCGACTAGGTTATTTATGAAGAATAAAAACGGCAAGGGACCTAGGTTTGAACCTTGCGGTACTCCAGAGGGAACAGTATAATTTGCTGAAGAATAACCATTATAGTAAACATATTGCGTCCTATTAGAAAGATATGAGCGTAAAAGACCGACTAACGAGTCACTAAGGCCGAAATGATGAAGGCTATCCACAAGAAGATGATGGTTTAATTTATCGAAAGCCTTGCTGAAATCCATGTAAATAACATCGACTTGTTGTTTCTTGTCTAACGATTCTGCTATATACTGCGTAATTCTCATTAAATTTGACGTAGTGGATCTACCTTTGATGAAACCATGTTGTGATGGAGTAATTAGGCTTTTAACGTTCTCGAAGATAAAAGAGTAAATGGCCATTTCAAAAGCCATTGCAAAGTTGTTCAAAATGCTTATAGCTCTATAGTTGAGTACATCAGATTTACAACCATCTTTCAGGACCGGACACACCTTAGCTATCTTCCAAATATCAGGAAAAATTCCACTCTTTAATATAGCATTGAAAATTATCAGCATCGGCTTGACGAAAACATGAGCACAATCTTTAATAATACAACTAGGTATTTGATCTCTACCAGACGTAAGTTTATTTTGAAGCTTAGAGAGAGACTTCAGTACATCAGCTTCCGTTAATTCCTCTAGATAAATACATGGTGTTGAAGTGACACTATCTAAAGAAGAGGGAATATTTCGAGGAGTAACATACACACTCTTAAAATAGTCGGCAAATGCATCAATAACACCTTGTGGAGTATTGAATACGTTGCCGTTGAACTGGACTTGGCCTGGTATTCTGCTACAGTCTCTCTTATTCCGAATGTATGACCAGAACTCCTTCGGGTCATTGATTATACTGTCCTCAACCGACAAGTACTCTAGCAACTCTAACTCGCCCCTTTATGATTCTGCGCAATCTAGAAAATTCATTGTAATGGTAAACATTGCTTGATCTCTTATATTTTCTATAGTAATAATCCTTCAAATTTATGAATATTGAAAATATCTAGTTTTTCCTCAGGTTTTAGGTTTGCTGGTAGCTCTACGACATATATTTGGGTATTTCTTAATCGCTAATATGGTGTGGATGTTTGTTAAGTTCCTGAACAACGAAAAATATTCAACTTTATGGATGTATGGATATTAAATAACCAGAATGGTTTTGTGGGAATATCAATCTAAGGTGCCATAATGATTCTGATGAACGGTAAGTGAATGAATGAATGTTTAGAAACGAGCAATATCTATGAACTTTTTGGTAGAGCCAGTCATCAAGTAGGTGCTTAATGGCTATCTGCAACAGGTTTATTGGAAAAAACACCCAGTAGATGATCTTGAATCAGTAAAATCGCATATCAATTGAAGAAAATAATATTATCATGAATAAAAAATTACAATGGTAATTAAAACATTAATTTTATTCAAAAATCAAACATCTGTTTAAATTTTGACTGAATTATATGTAATTTCTTAATATTCTTTAAGCTGGTGATGTTTCAATGACAAGATGTCATCTCATACTTTGACAATATTTTGTTTTCAACATTTCATAGCTATTGGTTGCTAAAATTTGTTGATTGGAACTTGAAGCTCATTCGCTGTATTTGACGGACTGTTACCCTATAGGTGGAGAATAACGGACTGTTGTTGGTAAAATTGGCCCTTAAAGTATCAAAAAAACGCAAATCCAAGAAGAGTTCCAGCGATCTTCCACCACTGCCAAGTAAGCCCAGCCAGCTTCAAATAAAAAATTCAGAACCAAGCTCTCGAGCACTACACCTTCGAGACTACCTTCATCAAAGCGGGACACGACGATAGTACTGCGCGAACCAGGGAAGTGGAAGTTTCTATCTCAATAATGTGTTTCTCTCTGTATTAAAATTGAAAAAACTGTGGCTATCGATGCCGGAATTAGAATTACCCCTAAAACAGAGGAGGATTATAGAAAACTTGTCCGCTTTCTAAAAGAAAAATAAATAACACACCATACTTTTCCCCTCCCTGGAGAAACAAACATTCACGCAATCCTTAGGGGAATACCAACAACTGCAGAGGAATGTGAAGCGAAAGAAGAGCTCATATGAAGGGGATATGGGATATAACCCTCTTCATATAATTTGCTTAAAAAAGAATGACGGGAGACCCATGCCTGTTATAGTTGTGGTACCGCCGAAGGTAGCAAAGCAGAGAGCTACTTCTCTAAATTCGAACACAACTTATGCTGCTGCTGCCCCTTCCAGCAACACTAATTCGGACACTTCACAGTGCCCCAGTTAATGATTTAGCAGCTGTCCTGAAATCACTTGAACAGACTATAGCTCCTCTTCTGCACGCAATATAAGGCTGTCTTGTCGCAGTCTGTAACAGGGCCGTATATAAACAATAATAAATAATCTACGACCGTCACTCACTTAGGTCGGTCTGTCTGTCTGCTAATCCTTGGCCCGTCTATAACATGGAAAATAATTTTCACACAAGGCTATTACTATGCTAAGGACGAGAAAGCTTTATAGTTAAATATCGGATGTGAGTGGTGAGGAGGGCATATCTTAATTTTTTAATGTTAGTATCTTTACACGATTATAACTCCGGTAATTATTCGAACCTATCAGGCATACTTCACCAAAAATAGATTTCCCCGTACATTTGCCTTTATAAAACATTTTTATAGCCACGTTCAATTTAATTTAATTCTTCCACATCCAGAAAACAGAAATATGCATTAGATTCGTCAGGTACAAACAAGTAACACAAAATATTTATCAAGAAATCAGACACACTGTACAGATATTTAGTCAAAAAGAAACTTTTTAAGCTTGTTTTGAAGTTGTCAGGAGTGAGGTACACATATTTTAATTCATTAAGTGACTTATCATATTTTTTTTGACCCAAAACACTTGGCGACTTCTTACCCTTTAAGTATTTTGCAAACGGTCTTTACCCAGTACGAACATTATGTAGATCCTTGTTCAACGTGAATAGATGTTTGTTTTTGTATAGATATATTGCCAAACTGTATACAATAAATACAGCAGGCAGTGCAGCTTTATAGTGCGGAAAAAGCTGGTGTGTGTTGTATGTCATACACCTTAACACTCTTTTCTGGTTCAACAAAACCTGTCATGCATTTGTAGACGCACCTTAAAAGCATAAGGCGTATCTGAACCTGGATTCTACTTGTGCGTAGTAAAGTGAAACCAACTGGTTTTCTGCCAAAGTTGTTCGTAAGTTCTTGAAAATATATGACTGTTAATTCAACTTAGAGACCAAGTGACTACCGTACGCTCTAAAGCTGAGGCACTCATCCAAATATAAGCATAAAAATTTTGTTTCTTGTGGGACATTTAAATCAATGTTGTTCAATTGGAAATTTAAACGAGTTAAACGTTTTTGTTGATTGATATTTTTTCTAGATTTAAATCAAGATAGTTATTAGAAAACAATTCATGAATGAATGCCGTTCAGTAGAAGATGCTCATGCTCATTATGTAATATGAGATCACTTTTGTTCGACAACACTATTGCCGCATCATCTGCGTAGAGCGTGAAGTTGGCCCGCGCAAAAAGAAACAATACTGGCTCCAGAATCAATCCCTGTGGGACACCAACGTCTATACTCTCCACATCAGATTTCACCTCTAAAATGAGATTGTAATAATTTTGTGATAAACACACATACTGCGTTCGGTCATATAAAAATAACCGAATCCGGTCATGAGATGGACCAACTTACCATAATGAACTAGTTTACTTAGAATCAGTTCATGGTTTACGTAGCAGAGAAGATCACAGAAGATCCGAACAGGACACTTTTCGGCTTCCATGAACTATGAAATTTTAAATAGACGTGTCCCATTCAACGCATCTAATGTTGATATATCGATATCCGCTTCGAGGTCTGATTCATCTATGAATCGTGTTTGGTCCGATGGAGATGGGTGACTGGAGAGTGGCGAAGTTAGTCATACCAACGTTGCCAGATGGTCGATACTGGCGGAGGGATAGCGGAAGAAATTTCGAGACCGCAACGTATCAAATGCGTGGTATTGTTACTATGGACTAATTGTGAAGGCCAGCTTGATTGACCTGATCTTTTAATTTTTTGTTACAACTAAATACTCGTAGCTACATGTTTCTCAGAGGGGCTAACTTGTATCTTTTCTGAACTGATGACAGCTTTACGCAGAAAGTGCACAATCAACCTAATTGACGTAATTTTTTCTGTATGATTTTTAATAATTGAAAGTCAAGGTTTTTTTCAATTTGTGTAGCAAATAAGTTGTTAGACATTTTTCTCATTGAGTTTTGAAATAAACCGCTCAATTTCAATGAATGACCGAATTCTACCAAAGAGCTATTTATTTTTGGCTGATCACCGACGAGAGCATCTCGTCAATAGCGGCAGCTGCTGGCAAAAAGCTATGCTATCTGTTTAGGGCTAAGAAGTACTTTTATTTACATAAGCTCCTTGCTTTGTACAAGGCCCAGATAAGACCTAGCCTCCAGTACTTCTCCCATGTATGGAGTGCTGCGGCCCCGACTACATTATCGATGCTCGATGCTGTATGATCGATGCTCGATGCTGTATGATCGATGCTCGATGCTGTATGATCGATGCCTCGTCTCTAACGTATTTTCTCGGGACCCTGTCGCACCGACGGGCCGTCGGCGATCTAGCTCTCTTTTACCGCTATGTCAACGAGCTGCCAGACAGACTCCCCTGAATTCGGCCTCCTTTCCTAACCTTGTCGAGCTTCGTACACAGAGAATGGGCCGATTCGATCAATCCTTCGTGTCTAGGGTATCGAGATTGAGGAACAATCTACCTGAGGACGACTTTCCTAGTTTTATAACCTTGGGCAGATCAAAAATCGGATAACAAAGTTTTTCTTCATAGCAGTTGCGGTGCTTTGGGATTTAGGCTTCTGCCTACGTGGCAGCTTCGGTATAAACAAAAAATCGACCATTATTTCTGAGCTTATACCATTACGCATGGCACACCACGTCATGCTTAGTGTCAGGTTTTGAAATATTGCCAGGAAATATCGTAGTGTGGACAGACTTTCGGAGAAGCAGTAAGCAGTAGGTCAAGCACCTCTTCCTCTTGTCAGAAAGTTTTTTCAGCCGCCGATGTGGAAAGTTTTTTCGCTGTCCTCTTATACAGTATACATTCTCAGGCCCGAGGCCAAGGGTGAATTAACACCCTCATAAGCTCCTTTGGCATTATTCCGGCAAAAACTTCAGATCGGAGAGTTGGTAAATTTCAAAATACATCTCATATTTCTTCCTGAGTAGATTTTGATCGTTATAAGGGTGGAGTGACTTTGGGTTAACGAAAATATCACGAGCATATCAAGTGGTCTCAAACGCTTAGATCAGTTAATAGGATTTTTTTATATTGAATCAGGCATGGAGGCATATAAATATATCTTAACAGTCACATTTATAAAGGTTTCTTCAGGATTTAATGATGTTTGAGGAATGATCTCACCTTGGATTTTAAATAAATAATAACACGTCCTTGAGTAAAGTTCAAGAGACAATTTGACTTTTGCATTCTACAGCAAGCTCTAACAGTTGTCATCACTGGCTGTCATCTATGCCAGAAAACATTTTCTTTGCTGACCTTATGTATTCGGCACACATTTTGGAAAGTACTAAGCAATGAAAAGTGTTCGCTTTCTCGGTTGTCAAGCGAACAGCACAGCCATTTTATAGCAGAGCGGACTAGGCTGAAATATAGGCAACCAGTGTTGCAATACTGATTTTGACAGTTTGAGCGGATTATACAGCTCGAAAGTTTTCAAAAGAAAATTCTAAGATTCTGTAAATTAAACTGCGGGGTCGAATGATATGGAAGTCGATATCTACGTTACATATATGTTGTATAAATATATTAAAGTATAACTATCAGTTATAAAGGGTCCTGCAGACAAGCCATTGATTGGTTTATAGCACATGTGAGGCAAAACGAGGATGTAAACCGGAAATAAGTTTATATTAGACGTGCTTTATTGCTAAAATAAGCAACTGGAATACAGAAATAATAGTTAGTAACAGGGATTCACAATCGTATCTTATAGCTACGGTCTGCACGCTCTCTCTCTCTGTCTCTCTCTCTCCCTTCAATATAAAATGGATAATATGGTGCAATCTTTATCGATACAATCTGAGAAACTGGATACGTTGATTCCTTAAGAAGAATAATAACAGTCATCGTCTGTATTGGAACTGTACAATTCAATACAGAAATAACAGTTGCAAATGCTGGCGCAGCTTAGAACGCTACTCTTACACTTAACCACAAATGCTGTTAAGTAGCAGATAGCTAAAATAAAAAAATTAATGTTGCACAAAAGTTTACTATACATACACAAGAGAATAAAATAAAACATTAACAACAAAGACAAAAACAACATATTTTAACCTGATTCGATACTTAACAGCTTTTTGGAAGCAATTTAAGGATATGATTTTAAATTCAAGACTCAAAGCATTGCAGATTAATAGATGGCATGCCAGTAAGATAGTACTGCATCTGTGGCCAAAAATTGAGTTTACAAATAGGTTTAATCGAAAAGTTGCAGTGCATTATAATGTTTTTACAATATCTCACAACAATTGTGAAGAAAGTGCCTGAAACTACTGAAACAGTGAAAATCTTCATTATTCCTGAGAACTGTCAATAGCAACTAGTTCGTCGCCATTATGGGGTTATCGACAACCAAAATGCGCGAAAACAAGTCAACAATCATCAATACCTTTAACGAAAAATGTTTACAAGAAATAGTGAGCAAAGTCGTACAACTGGTAGAAAAGCAGATTGAGGAGAGACTTAACAGGAACGAGGAGGAAATACAGATTCTTTGTGACAGGGTCGAGAATTTGGAAAGGGATAATAGACGTCTTATCATGAAAATTGATGATAAGAGCAAATGGAGAGATCCCAAAACATCAGAATATTTGGGCTGAAGGAAGAGGAAGCGGAAGATTTGGGGAATGTTATAGTGGAACTGTTTCAAAACAAACTAAAAGTAAACATACAAGAAAAAGATATAGCTAAATATACCATCGCATACCAAAAAAAAACTCAAATAACAGTACTTCGGCCGTGCTGTTCGGTTCACCTCCAGCGATTCACAGGCATCGGTTTTGAAAAATCGAAAACTATTGAAAAACACCGGAATTCGTATTAAAGAAGATCTGACTAAATCGCGACCGAAGTTATTTAGAAGATGTATTGATCTGTTTACGGAAAACAATGCGTGGATC